TAAGGCTTAAAAATGCTGGGAATTTTGCATCTGAAACAACATGGAATGGGTTTTTTCCTCGGGAAAGCAAAAATTTGGGGGGTTTCTTTTCCCAGGGGGCCCTTGGGGGATTAGGTCCCTTAGAACAAGAAATTATTTGGTGGGACCCAGGGGGGGGGGGGGGGGGGGGGGGGTTGAGGGGGAGGAGAATGAAGAGTTAGTGTTTAATGGGGACAGAGTTTCAGTTTGGGAAGATGAGAAAGTTCTGGGGATGGATGGTGGTGCTGGTTAAAGAACAATGTGGTCCTAGCCGGTTGCTCAGTGGATAGAGCATTGGCCTGTGGACTGAAGGGCCCCGGGTTCGATTCCGGTCAAGGCAACCAATCAATGTGTCTCTCTCACATCAATGTTTTTCTTTGTCTCTCCCCCTCCCTCCCACTCTCTCTAAAAAACAATGGAAAAAATATCCTGGGGTGACGATTAACAAGAACGATGACAAAAAAGAACAATGTGAATGTGCTTACTGCCTCTGAACGGTGCACTTAAAAATGGTTACGAGGGTAAATTTTATGCACGGAATGTTTTACTAAAACAATACAGATATATGGGAATGGGAAGGTGGAGCACAGACCTGAGATGGCTGTGCTGCCTCTGTGAAAGCCCAGAGAGCGAGAATGGTCCTGTCATTTCCTCGAGAAACTTCTGATTCTTAGCATATGGGGTGGAACGCAGAGCATCGCAGTGAAGTGCTATGATGCTGCAACTTACTTCAAAGCGGTTAGGGAGAGAGAGGAAGAAGGAAAGGGGAAAATGGTCAATACCAACCATGGAGAACGGAGGGGGGAAGATCATGTGTCTATTGTATCGGTCTTTCAACTCTTTTCCATAGGATTGGGATTTTTCCAAATAAAAACCTAAGATAATAAGAAGACAAGGACAGTGAGGCAACAAGGTCCTCCAAACCCTAGAGGTGACTATTACTGTCCTCTCCATTTTACAGATTGGGGAACTGAGGCTCAGAGAGGAGAAATCACTTGCCCTAAAGCAGAAGTAGGGATAGAATAGTGAGGTGAAACAACCCAGCACGAAATCTGAGGCCTGCTCCTGGTTCAAAAGTGCCCCTGTCCTGACGGATGCCGCTCCCCCCCTGCCCCGTGAGGGGCATTCACCAGCTGACTTATGACTGACCATGGTGCCTGAAATGCTGCCTGTCCTGAACTTGACCCCTGTTATGCACTTGACCCCTGAACAATGCGCTCTGAACTTCAAGGGTCCCCTTATACCCAGATTGTTTCAATTGACCCACCGAGTCCAAACCTGTGTTGTTCAAGGGGCAACTGTATTCCATTCTACAAACACCTGGGGGCTGGGTGGTGCAGGGCCTGAGGAGGACTCTGCCATGGCTCCCCCAGCTCAGTTCCCCCAGGCACAGAGCAGAGCAAGACTGCAGGGCACGTGGTCGGGATGAGATGCAGGAAGGGGACTGGGCCTTGGCTCTGCAGCGGTGAAGAACACAGCCCTCTGGACATGGTTCGAGGACATGGGGATGGCCCAGGCATGGCCTCGGAGCCTCGAGGATCTCAGGCTGGGGCTCAGGACATTAGGGCAAGCAAGGCCATCCCCATCTCCCCTTCCTCCCCAAAAAAGCTTTTTTGTGAGTTTCTGGGAAGCAGAACAGCCAGATGAGGACACCCTAGGGAAGATCACATACCCAAGCCAGCAGGGGTACATCCCACCCCAGCCCAGCAGCACCAGGGAGCCAGTCCCCCCACCCCCCGCAACTAGCTCTTTTGCAGATATCTTAAGAATGTGTTTGTAAGTGAGGGGCCTCTCCCTCGACCTCCCCAAAAGATAAAAAAAATAATTAAATCTGTGCATCCTATTCACTCTGTCACTGATTCCTGGACATCCATCCAGGGCAGCTCTGCCTGTCAGACTCTTCTCTGCTCTGAGCAGGTGCTGTCCCCGCCGCCCCCCCCCCCCCCCCCCCCCCCGCCACACACAAAGTTTTATTTAAAACAGTGGCTCAGTTGGAGCTACCCACTTTCTCTTCTGGAATCTTCCAAGGGCTGGGGAGGAGGGCTGCTATTCAAGTGTATATGCCTCCTGCCTGAATCATGGGTGAGGCGAGTGTGGGTATTTTGCAGCCTGTGGTTGCCTGGAGAAATATTTTAGTCATTAGCCAAAGGGAACACACTCTGGTCCATTCCTCTATTCCTGACTATGCAGGGCCTTGTTGGCCAAGGCGACTGCTGTGAGGACCTGATGGAGGTTTTAAGTCAAGGGGTGAGGTAGCCTGATTTGTGTAGGGAATCCTTGAGTTGCTTGGGGAATAGGATTGTCAGATAAAATCCAGGCTGCCCAGTTAAATTGGAATATCAGACAAACAATGACTTTTTTTTTTTTCTGTTAATCCTCACCCAAGTCTGTTAATCCTCACCCAAGGATAATTGTTCCATTGATTTTTAGAGAGTGGAAGGGAGGGGAGGGGGGGAGAGAGAGAGAGAGAGAGAGAGAGAAGCATCTATGTGAGAGAAACACATGGATTGGTTGCTTCCCGCACACACCCCAACCTCCTAACTGCAGCCCAACCCCCCAACCAGGGAGAGGATCTAACCTGCAACCCAGGTATATGTCCTTGACTGGGAATTGAACCCAAGACCCTTCAGTATGTGGCCGATGTTCTAACCACTGAGAAACACGGGCCAGAGATGAATGAAGTTTTAAAAAATATTTTTACTGATTTCAGAGAGGAAGGAAGAGGGAGGGAGAGAGAGAAACATGAATGATGAGAGAGAATCATTGATCGGCTGCCTCCTGCACTCCCCCTACTGGGATCGAGCCTGCAACCCAGGTATGTGCCCTTGACTGGAATTGAACCTGGGACCCTTCAGTCCTCAGGCCGTAGCTCTATCCACTGAACCAAACCAGCCAGGGCCTGAATGAGGTTTTTAAAACAAAGGCATATCCCAGGAATGGTGTGGGACGTACTTATGCTAAAATTTTTTTTTTGTCCTTTTGAAATTCAAATTTAAGTGGGCATCCTGGATTTTATTTGCAGGGAGGGAGACATGGTCAGGAGCCAGGAGATCCAGGGGTGCAGGTGACTGCACTGGTCCAAGTAAGCGATGATGATGGATGGATGGAAGCAAGGTGGAGAGCAATGGGAGGATTCTGGGTAGACGTAGGAGAAGGAGCCCCTATGTCTTGCTGATGGATTGGACATGCAGATATGCATGCCCTTGGCTGGGAGGACTTCGGTTGAGGGGAGCCCTGGAGCCCAGGTGGGCTGAGTGGAGGAGGGGCAGGAGCTGATATGGGTAAGAGGCCTGCAGATGCAGTCCTGGGACTCAACAACCACCTTCCCCTCTGAATTGCTCCAGCCCAGGGTCTCCCCCTCCACACTCCTGACATTTGGGTGGGTCAGTCTCTGGGTTGGGGCCTTCCTGGATACGATGGGTGCTGAGCAGCATCCCTAAGCCCCAACGACTTAGTGCCGGAAGCACCCCCTCCCCAAGTGACGGTCCAGTGTCCCCTGGAAGACAGAACCACCCCTGGCTGACCCCTGGTCCAGGCACCAAAGACCCCAGTGAGGCCCGACCAGCGTGGCTCAGTGGTTGAGCATCAACCTATGACCCAGGAGGTTGGGGTTTGATTCCAGGTCAGGTCACATGCCTGGGGTGCGGGCTCGATCTCCAGTGTGGGGCGTGCAGGAGGCAGCCTATCAATGATTCTTTTTCATCGTTGATGTTTCTATCTCTCTCTCCCTCTCCCTCCCTCTCTGAATTAATAAATTTATAAATTAATAAATATATATATATTACATGGAGCTGGGGCCCTGGACGGCTTGTCAGTTCCCTTTGTGCCCTCCTGGCGGTGAACTTTCTGGGGATGGGAGAAGTGGGTGCCCAAAAGGCTGGAGCTTGGGGAGGTTTAGATAATGTGCTCCCACACCAGACTCATGTGAAACCCATCTGTGCAAGACAAAGAAAAGGCTGCTGGTAGAGTGATAAAGCTCTTTCTATTTAGAAGTTTGGGCATTTAATTCTGGCAATCCTTGCTCATGGCTAACACTGCCTGCCCACTCCTGCCTCTGGCAGCTGTCTGAGTCCAGGGGGGTGCTGGTGATGATGATGGGAATCTTGGCCTTCACGCTGGTCAGGGACCAGGGCAGGTGCACCGTGCTGACCAGCTCGTACTGGGTGCTCATGATCTCGCCTTCCTGCATGTCGCTGCTCACAGACAACACCGGCGGGAGGTGGAAGATGCTGACGATCTTGGTGGTGTCGAAGGGCACGATTTGGGTGTTGGCCTCCTGGCGGAGCAGCTCGCAGCTCTCCACCCGTGACCGCCGCTCCGTCTTGGGCGTGAAGCCCTCGTACTGCACGTGGGTGTAGAGGGCGAAGACGACCGTCTTGATGCACTTGCTGGTCTGGTTGTTGATCTCCGTGGTGAAGAGGACCCTCTCCCCTGGCGTGAAGGTGTTATTTTCCAGCTGGATCTGGACGCAGATGGTGCCCTGCCTGCAGCAGTTGTAGGAGACCTTCTTCTCAGTCTCCACAAACAGGGGACTCTAGAAGGGGTGGGGTTGGGGGAAATGAACCGTTGTGAGGCACTGTGGCCACGCGATCCACTCATCTGCCTACCGCCCCACCATTTCAGCACTTCTGAGGCTTGAGCCTTTTGGGACTTCCCTAGTCAAAGGCATGGAGATGGAATCTAGAATCTTGGGGATGTTGTAGCCAAAAGCCTGGAGTCACCTCCCAGCTTCCTTGAATCACAGCCCTTTGCCATTCTAAGTATCAGTTTCCTTATATGTAAAATTAGAGGCCCAGTGCCAGAAATTTGTGCACGGGTAGGGTCCCTAGGCCTGGCCGGTGATCAGGGCCAATTGGGGCCTTCCAGCCGGGGCCTTCCTTCGTTCTGCGCTGCCCCCTGGTGGTCAGCACATGTCATAGCGAGCGATCGAACTCCCAGTCCCCTGGTTGAACCCTGAGGGGACACTTTGCATATTAACCTTTTATATATATAGTAGATAGGGCTAAGAAATCCACCAGATCCTAGCTTTATCCCCAGCTCCCTTACTCATTTGCTGTGTGAACTTGAACAAATGGCTTGACTTCTCTGAGCCATGGTTTTCTGGGAAAAAGGGAATGTCTTACAGTCTAAGCCCAAGACTAAGGCTTACCCAAGTTGCTCAGATTTAAGGAGGAATTATGATGGGCTCTGAATCATGACAAGAAAACTATAGGGTTGAAATTATGTAATGTGTTAAAATAAATGCTTCAAAATGCAGCCCTTATATCTACTCGTCAGCTGCTGGATTGCAAATAAAGTCACATATACATTATATTTAATGTGTGGCTTGAGTTACTTTTTTTTTTGATTTGTGGATAATATTTAAGAGACTTGATGTAATGTGGGTGGGCTTAGAATTTGCCTGCATGCTTATTCCCTTTAAGCATAAAAGTGATAGAGAATAGTGTTACAAATGCTTGCAAAGTCCCCTCAAACTTCCCATTAGGGGCATGAGTTTAGTAACTTGAAATTGACTATGATGGGAGTATTTACACCATGGAAATTGGCAAACATTACATATTAGGGCTGTCTTGCACCAGAGCAGGTTGTTAATCACTCACTAGAACAGCACTGTCATGTCCTGCTTTATCAGCAGGTAGGACTTCTCCCGATTTGTTTCAGAGCTCTGTTCACTTAAGAAATAAAACACCAGGCTTGGTGGGCATGGCTCAGTGGTTGAGCGTCATCCTATGAACCAGGAGGTCACGGTTTAATTCCCGGTCAGGACACGTGCCCAGGTTGCCGGCTCAATCCTTGGTGTGTCCAATTGATCAATGATTCTCTCATCATTAATGTTTCTATCTCTCTCTCCCTCTCCCTTCCTCTCTGAAATCAATAATAAAAAAAAGAAATAAAACCACTATTGCACAACTATGTGAACTGTACACTTAAAAATGGTTAAGATGGCAAATTTTATGTTATGTATTATTATTATCACAATTTAAAATAAAAATAGTCCTGGCCGGTGGGATCAGTGGTTAGAGCATCAGCCCCCAAAGGGTTGTGGGTTGGATTCTGGTCAAGGACACATACCTGGGTTGCAGGTACGATCCTTGGCCCCAGTGGGGCGCATTCAGGAGGCAACCAATTAATATGTCTCTGCCACATCAATGTTTCTCTCTCTCTTTCTTTCCCACTCCCACCTCTCTAAAAGTTAATAGAAAAAATATATAACCTCTGATGAGGATTAACAAATAAATAAAAAAAAATCAGCAATATCATTGAAGCCCCCGCGGACCCCTCCCCAATGCATCACCTCTTCTCTCCCTAGAGGTAAGCATTATCTTGAATTTGGGGTTTATTGTATCTATGCATTTTTAAAAAAACCAAACATTATAAAAAAAATACAACTCAGATACAGAAAACTTTACAAAACAAATGTATAACCTTGTGAATTATTATACGGCCAACCCTCTTATAACAGCCACCCAAGTCAAGAAGTAGGAATTTGCCAGTGCCCCCCCACCCCAAAGTTCCTCATATATGACCAGAATGCAACTATCCTGAATTTTATTTTATTTATTTAAGTTTTTAAAAATTGATTTCTATAGAGAGAGGAAGGGAGAGAGAGAGAGAGAGAGAGAAACATCGATTGGCTGCCTCCTGCCCATTGGGGATCGAATGCACAACCTGGGCATGTGCCCTGACCGGAATTGAACCAGAATCGAACTGGCAACCTTTTGGTGCATGGCACAATGCCCAATCAACTGAGCCACACTGGCCAGGGCACAAAAATTCTGAATTTTATTTATTTATTATTTATGATTTTTTAAATATATTTTTTTTATTGATTTCAGAGAGGAAGGGAGAGAGATAGATAGCAACTTCATTGATTGGCTGCCTCCTGTACACCCCCTACAGGGGGGATTGAGCCTGCAACCCAGCATGTGCCCTTGACTGGAATCGAACCTGGGACCCTTTAGTCCGCAGGCCGACGCTCTAGCCACTGAGCCAAACCGTCTAGGGCCAATTCTAAATTTTATAGTAATCACTTTCTTTTACCTGCACATGTGTATGTGTAGGGACCTAACTAAGATATATTGTTTTAGGAAAAGGCATATAAAGAATAATAATAATAATAAAATAATAATAATATAAAAACCTAAAATGTATCTTCCAATATTTTTGAGAAATAAAACATTACCTATTATATGAAATCTCGTGTGTTCTGTGGGCTTCACCTCACTGCTCCCTCTCCTCTGTGCAGCCAGCCATGATCTGAATTTGGCATTTGCGGTTCTCAGAGAATTTTCACATTATTTAGGAATACATCTATTTTTTTACATATTTTAAATAAGTCAAATTGCATATGTCTCCTAGCAAGTTGCTTTTTCCAGCTCAATATTCTGGGTTTGAAATGCCTTCACATTGGTGCCTGCCATTCTGGTTAATTAGTCTTTCGGAATGCAACTGAGTGTGTTGCAAAATAATTTATTCATCCTCCTATGATGGACATTTCTATTTTTCCATGAGTTTGATATCATAAAAATGCTAGAAGGAGCAGCCTGAAGACAATTTTTGGGGGCTTACAACATGAGTTTCTCTAGGGCATGAATTGGCAAACTTTTTCTGTAAAGGAACTGATAATAATTACAGTTTAGACTTTGCAAGCCACTACAGTATTTATAATATATTATTCCTTTAAAAAAACACAGTTAAAACATAGGTTTTAACATTGAGGCAAAGAATAGAAATCTGTATGTACACCTCCACCTAGATCGATGAAAGAGAACAAGTTTATGAACTTCTGCTTCCTGTTCTACTCTATTTATTTGATTTATTTAAAAAATGTTGGTTGCAATCCTTTGAATTTATTTTTGTTATTTCTAGTCTATTTACTCTAGTCTATTATTTTGTTTTATATAAAACAAAAATTTTATAAAAATTAGCTAGTTGTAACCCACCAAGTTTTTTTTTTTTCTTTCTGGAAAACTCTATTCTATTCTTTCACTTGAAGTCGATTGCAACCCACCAAACTGACTTTTTCTATTCTATTTATTTTATTCTCTGTTCTTTCTTCATATATAAAAATGATTATATATGTGTGTATGTTTGCACCCCACAACATAGATATTTTCTTAATTTTGGTCTTGCCTATTCTTCCATTTTACAGAAATGTGTTTGCAACCTGCTGAATTGACTTTGCAACCCACTAATGCAGTGGTTCTCAACCTTCTGGCCCTTTAAATACAGTTCCTCATGTTGTGACCCGACCATAAAATTATTTTCGTTGCTACTTCATAACTGTAATGTGGCTACTGTTATGAATTGTAATGTAAATATCTGATATGCAGGATGGTCTTAGGCGACCGCTGTGAAAGGGTCGTTCGACCGCCAAAGGGGACCCACAGGTTGAGAACCGCTGCACTAATGGGTCAGGATCTGCAATTTGAAAAGCACTGTTCTGGGTCCACTGTGTTTCCTCTTGGAGACCTCGGGTGACCCCCGACCCCTTTGGACCTCAGCTCCTGCCCTCTGCCTGTGGCCCTACTCCTCTTTAGCCTTCACAGGCTTCCCTTTCCCTAGGAAGGCTCATTGCGGGGAGTTTAGGTTCTAAATCCCTCTACTGTTATTCGAAATTGCGTGGCATGCGTTAGGACCCCGCGGGTGTTAAGGAGCTCCCTGCTCTAACTCAGAGCCAGGGCTGTAGTTCTGTCCTGGCCCTGAAGGAGGGGTGTAGAGCAACCAGCGGTGGTCCAGGAGACCTCCAGGCCTGACCAGTAACATGTCCAATGCAAAGCCAACACTGGAGTTCTTAGGCCTGCGAGTTCTTTGGAACCCTGTATTTCTTTAGCGTATATGAAACGTTGGGAGGTGAGCTCATTCGTTCAACTGGGTTTTATTTGCATCTACTTGGTGCCAAGTTTAGGGAAAACCCATAGCAATGAAGACCTGCTCTGGTTGAGGAGATGGACATAAATGGTACGTGTGAAAACACACCACGTCGTTTCTGGTTGAGACAGTGATGAGGCTGCGATGGGATGCAAATGGGGGAAATAATGAGATAAGGGGAGCTGGAATGGGGGCTCCCTTAGGGCTGCTAGTTAGGAAGGGGCTCTAGGACAAGCTCCTCTCCCAAATGGTGCTGAGTGGAGGGGATGTGGAGGAATTGGAACCCTGTGCACTGCTGGTGGCAAGGTAAGATGGCGCCGCGGAAAACAGGCAGTTCCTCGAAAGGTGAAACAGCCTCACCATCTGCCCCAGCAATTCCGCTCCAGGAAGCCGCCCGGAGAAAGGAAGGCTCATGCCACACAAACACTTGTACTTGAATGTTCACAGCAGCATGATTCACAGTAACCAAGGAGGCAGCCCAAGTGTCCATCAATGGGTGCCCAGATGCACGAAATGCAGCCCACCCGTGCACTGATGTAGCCTTAAAGAGGAGTGAAGCATGGACACTCGCTACAACACGGATGGACCTTGAAAACATGACGCCCAGTGAGCGAAGCCAGACTCAACGGCTGCACAGCATGTGACTCCACTTCTGTGGAATGTTCCAAACAGGCACATCCAGAGACAGAGAGTGGGTTAGTGGTTGTCAGGGGCGGGGGTCCGGGCAGAGGGAGGCTGGCTGTGACAGCGAGGGGGTGCAAAGTTTCTTTTGGGGGTGATGAAATGTTCTAAAACCGACTGTGGCGATGGTTGCATAACTCTGTGCACACTTTAAGTGGGTGAATTATAAGGTATGAGAATTATATCTCAATAAAGCTGTTAGAAATAAAGAGTGGAAGGGTGGAAGGGGGAAAGTTTCTTTGCTTCCAGCTCCCCTCCCCCCTCCCACGAGGCAGCGTTTGTGGCCAGTTGCTCTGCTCTCCTTCCTGCAAGGAAGTAATTTGTTTTCACCACCAGTGGCAGGCTAGACCTGCTGTCCTGAACTTTGCTTTTTTTCATTCAGCCCAGTGACTTGGAGATCCTGACCAGGGGCGCTGCCTCACTCCGTCACTGTCTGTCTGTCTCTTTTGCTTTACTCCATAGGATGTGTCTTTTTGCCTGGGTGTTCCTACGCAAACAATTCCCTAAGCAACAAATATTAGACTTCCCAATTTTTTTGCCACTATAAACAGTGCTGAGGGGAGTCATGTCACACACGAGAAAGAACATCAGTAGGAGAAATTTCTAGAAAGGGGAATGACTGGGGCAAAGTGCATGTTCGTTTTAATATGGATAGATGTAGCTAAGTTGCCCTGCATAGCTTGTGGATGTTTATTCGGCCATCGGCAATGCAGGTGGATGAAGACATGGCTTCCGAGCAAAGATCAGAAGGATAGCAAGGTCACCTTATAGTGTTCCGAGCAGAGGGAACAACTTGTGCAAAGGTCCTGGGGCAGGACTGTGCCTGGTGTGTTGGAGGAACAGTGAGGAGGCCCATGTGGCAGGAGCAGAGCAAGGGCGGGGGGCGGTGCGCACGCGGAGAGAGAGGGAGGACATGAAGGCACAGAGGAAATGGAGGCAGGTCATGCAGGACCTTGTGGGCCGTGGGGAAGACTTGGGCTTTTCCCCCAAGGAAGGCAGGCACCCTGGAGGGCTGTGGGCAGAGGAAGGTCATCACCTGACTTCCTCTGTCTGCTCTGAGAAGGACAGACTGTTGGGGGTTAGGACTATGCCTCTACTTGAATCAGAGTAGTAGCCTCTGCCCTGGCCCCCCAGCTCCTGCCCTCAGCCTGCCTCATATACTCTCTCCTGCCTCAGGACTTTTGCACATGTTGTGTGCTCTGCCTTCAACACTCTACTGGCTTTCCCCCTCTCCTCTTTCAATTCTCTACTAAAATGTCACCTCCTCCAGGAGGCCTCCCTTGACCAGTTTGGTTAAAACAGTACTGAGTAGTTGGAAAAAACAGTATTTGCAGACTCTCAAAACTTATCTGTGATAACTCTCCTTGCTGCTCTGATAGCAATTTTAGCTCTTCCCACTTCCTGGGGGCCTCCTATGTGTGGGCATTGTGCTTGGTGCATAGCAGTCCTCACAGGCACCCACTGAGGGAAGTGTTGCTGTTATTATTATTATTCATTATTCCCATTGTACAGATCAGGAAATATAGGCTCTGCAAGATGCTGGAAAGGCTATCTGGCTAATGAAGAGTCTGGTGGTGGAGATATAAAGCAGGGTTGGACCCAACACCAGCGTTTTGTCCCCAGCTCCTGCCTTGTTCCCTCGGCGCTCCAGACTGCCTCTGAAGGGAGCCCAGAGAGGAGACATGGCCTATCAAGGCCACACAGGGGGCAGGGGGCTAAGCAGGCCTTGAGCTCAGACCTGCTCATCTCAGGGCTGACCCACCCCTCCAAGCACCGACCTCTCCTGGCAGCCTCCCAAAACCATCCCGGGAGATTGGCTGGACTAGAAGGACCCCCTTGTTACACAGATAACAATACAGGTGGTGGCAACAGTGACACGATTTGCTGGCCCTTGCCAGGCACTCTGTGAAGCCCTGGACTTACTTGCGTCAACTCCACTCGTTACTCCCTCCATGACTAGGGGGCAGGCACTGGCTCTCTGCTCATTTCACAGATGAGGACAAGGAGACCCAGAGAGGCAAGGCCACTTCTAGAGGGTCACACAGCGGGTAGGTGTGTGCGGGTAGGTGTGTGCGTGTGCGGGGGGAGTCTGGGCTTTTAATCAGGACCTCAAAAACGAAAATGCCAGCTCCCTGAGCCACCACGCTGATAGCAAACGAGTCCCCAGGAAGGTGAAGTGACTGTGGTCAACGGTCCTCTACCCGCCCAACTTCCGCCTCTGCACCTGGGCCTCCAGAAACCACCCAGAAATCCTTCTCCGCTCAGGCAGACTGATGCCACATGCCCTCCCTTCTCCTGGGATGGAGGCCGCCCCCTTCCCTTGCTTCTTGGGGGAGAAGGGGGGACACCACCTGCATTGTCTGAGGGCTCAAAGCCCACGAAGAGTCACTGAGTGTCCAAGTCTCTCTCTGACCCAGGGGGTGACAAGGGGACCTCGGCTCAGTCTTCACGTACTGTAGGGTCCAGGACACTGGGGCCTGGTCATTCTCTGTGGGGGGCCATCCTGGGCCACCCACCGAGGCCAGGAGCACACCCACTGGTGACAACCACACATGTCCCCAGACATTGCCCAGTGAATCACCCCGGTCGAGTCCCACTGCGTCGTTCCTGCCCTGGTTTCTGATTCACACGTGTGCACTCACTGGGCCCGGGAGCCTCCAATACCATTCCCTGCTTCCCTGCCAGGGCCTCTTCAGTCGCACGCACGCCCCCTGCCGCCCTGGAGCTTTGAGGAACCAGCCCCACCAGGGCTCCTTCCCCATTACTACCTGGTTTTCTCGGGGGAAGTCCGAAGTCCCTTGAACCAACAAGTACATTCTCTTCTTTGCTAGAATGTGCTCCCGGCCCATGCAGGAGGCTTGCACGAAGTAGAAGACATGGCCAATTTTGCTGGTAAAGGTAGAAGGGAGCCTGGGAGGTAAGTTGAAATGGAAATCAAAGGTGTGGCTGCCTGCACTTAACCAATTATCTGAAAGCAAAACACACCGATGCCATCAGAAGGTTCTAGAAGCTTTTTTTTTCCTTTTTCCATTTTGTTTTCCTCTTTAGTTATTGCTTTGGTTGGGGAGGTTGTTCGGGGCCTGGCCTGCCTGTCCCAGAGCTCGGCTGAGGTAGGTGCGTTTAGGGACCTGCATGGCCCATAAATATTAGGCCCAGGCCTCAGGGGGGCTGGAAGGGGATGCCCCAGGTGGGTGACATGGCTGGTGTGGTTGCTCCAAAACAATGGCGGGGACTCGCTCAGTTCTGCCTTGGGTCTGAGGAACTGGCCCTCATGATTCAGTCCCCAGGAGGACATGGCTTCTGAATTCCTCTGCTGGGAATGAGAGGGGTTCATTCAACAAACACAGCTTGAGCCCCTGCTGTATGCCTGGGGCTCTTTTAGGCAGTGTTTGCAGCAGTGAGCAAGGCAGCCACACCTCCTTGTCCTCACAGAGCTCAGTCTTCAGTGCACTGTGAACGGCAACATACAGTAGGTGCTTAATATCTGTTGATTGACTGAGTGGAGACTGAGGACCAGGGAGAAACCCACACTGCCCCCATTTCTGTGACCTTATTTTTTATTTTTTGCATTTCTCCAAAACTCTCTTATGATTGTGTTTTTCCCGCCTGAAGGCAACCCAACGACACCAGGGACCATGTGTGTGCTCTTCACTGCTGTATCCCCAGCACCTGGCACAGTGTTGTGTACAGCAGGTGCTCACTAAACGTTTGTGAAATGAATGAATGAACCTATTGCAGGCTTAAGGTTGATACTTTTGCGGGGGAATACAGTCTCTTGGAAATGGGGAAGGAGGGGTGGTGCCTAATGCTGGGGTGGTACTGGGCAGGTGAGTGTTTTGGTTGAAAGAATTAACATTTATCAAGCACTTACTGTATACCCCGCACTATCTATGCCACTAAATCATTAAGCCCTCAAAGAAATCTCACGAGGCAGGACTTGTTATTTCCATTTTCCAGATGGCTAAACGGGGACCCAGAGAGGCCACATGATTGCTGAGGATTAAGATCTGGCATCTTGCTGTTCCTCCCCCAGAGGTCTGCATGGCTCGTGTCCCTCCCATCACTCATATTTGTGCTCTGTTTTCACCTCTTTGGAAAGACCTCCATGACCAGCTCTTTAGATCTTATTTTCGTGTATCTGATGGTCATGGTTTCACAGGGATTCCCTCCTAGGGAGGAGCCACATCTCTGCCCATTTCTGACATCCCTGGGGTTTGCTGACCGACTAACATGTGTTAACCTCCCAGACCCAGGTTCCTATTATGTTTAGGGTTGGCTGCTGGCCTCCTCCTTACCCTTCACTGGGAACTTCTTTGACTTGTGTACATAGTCGGCCTTGTTGTTGCAAATAACATCTCTGCTATAATCACGGGATGCCCCGGTTTCCTCGCTCCACTCCACGTAACCCCTTCCCACGAGCTCCACCTTCACAATGGGGTCCACCAGGGTGCTGTTCAGGGTTAGAATCACCTGCCCTTTTATGCAGGAGCCGGCCAGGTAGATCGCATCCTTGGGCAGCACTAACTCGATCCACTTCACCACAGACATGGAGGGTTGGGCGGGTGGAGAAACATCCTTCTCCCTCCTCCATGCCACGGAGATGCCGGGTTCCTTGGCCTCAGTGAGGTCACCTGTCTGTGACATCATCCAGCCAGGGTTCCGGGAAGGGATCCCCAGTGACCAGGAGGAAGGGAGGCAGCAGCTTGGGAATCCCAGAGTCCTCACTGGTTTGTAAAATGGTAGCCTGGAAAATAACACCTTTTCCTAGAAAATAACAAGCAAGCAAACAAAAAACAACCATAAGGCGCCAACATTCCCGTCACACAGGGGACCCCTGTCATCATGCCAGGGGTTTAGGGGCCTTGGGTGGGAAGAGTTGGTCCAGCCACTCTGCTGAGGTAGGTGTTGTGAGCTCTATGTCCAGATGGAGAGGCACAGCAAATGAGCCAGAGGTATTTTCTGCCCCATCTGATGGCTCCCAAATTTGCTCTGTGTGCCTCAGCATTCACACATTGTTCTGGGGTCAGACACAATCATTTTCATTTTTAAAAAAATATATTTTATTGATTTTTTACAGAGAGGAAGGGAGAGGGATAGAGAGTTAGAAACATCCATGAGAGAGAAACATCGATCAGCTGCCTCCTGCACACTCCCTACTGGGGGTGTGCCCGCAACCAAGGTACATGCCCTTGACTGGAATCAAACCTGGGTCCTTTCAGTCCGCAGGCCAATGTTCTATCCACTGAGCCAAACTGGTGAGGGCAATCATTTTCATTTTAATGGTTCTATATTCATCCCAGTCTGTGTTAGAAAAAAGATTAAAGATGTGGCCAGGATATGAAATCTGATGTGAATTGAAGGTGCTCAGAGCACTGTGTGGTCCTACCTACGCGTGGATGCCACCATGAAGAACCGTCTCCCTGCACAACTGACATTTCCCTTTATGCCTTTGTCTCCCCCATTGGATGGGAAGTGCCTTCAGGGCGGGACTTCGTCTCAGCAAGCGTTGTGTCCACCAATGTCTGCTGGATCCAGGACCTGATTGGACCAGGGAGGGCAATAAAAGTTTGCTGAACATCTTACTGACCTTCAAGAGTGTATCATTTCGCAAAAGGGAAATTGAGGTCCTTTGTACTCTAGTGGTTATTCCTGATTGGCACGTGGGCTGGTGCCTAAGTGGGAGTGACACTAAAGCAAAAGAGGCATTGGAAAGTGTCCATTCTCCAGATGATGAAGGCCTCATTCATCATCTTTGCTGTGTTAATGTACATGATGTCTTTTGTGGACATCAACATATTGTCACCCTAAAGGGTTTGTAAGTGTCTTTTGGAGAAACTTGGCATAGTATCTTTTTTAAAAAATGTGTTTTAAAGAGAAAGAGTAAGGGAGAAAGCGAGAAACATCAATTTGTTGTTCCACTCATCCACACGTTCGTTGGTTGACTCCTGTATGTGCCCTGACTGGAGATCGAACACACGACGTTGGTTCATCGGGACAACACTAACCAACTGAGCCACCTGGCCTAGTTTATTTATTTATTTTAATCCTCATCTGAGGATATTTTTTCCTTTGGTTTCCAGAGAGAGGGGAAAGGACGGAAGGGAGGAGTAGGGGGAGGTGGGGGGGGGGGGGAGAGAGAGAGAGAGAAACATCAACATGAGAGACACATTGATTGGTTGCCTCCCGCACCCACCCCTACTGGGGCTGGGGAACCATCAACCAAGGTATGTGCTGTTGATGGGGAATTGAACCTGAGACCAATTGATCCGCAGGCTGACCCTCTAATCCAGCGGTTCTCAACCTGTGGGTCGCGACCCCTTTGGCGGTCGAACGACCCTTTCACAGGGGTCTCCTAAGACCATCCTGCATATCAGATATTTACATTACGATTCATAACAGTAGCAACATTACAGTTATGAAATAGCAACAAAAATAATGTTATGGTTGGGTCACAACATGAGGAACTGTATTTAAAGGGCCAGAAGGTTGAGAACCACTGCTAATCACTGAGTAAAACTGGCAAGAGCTTATCCATGTTTGTTAATTAACCCAAGCAACCCCTCTGTCTCCAAATGACTAGAGAAATGGGGATCTGTGTCACCAGTTCTTGTGAACTTTTCTGCAGGAAAAGCCAGATACCAGTACTTCTGTGTTACTTAACTTCAGATGTCCAAGGAGCCTGGACTGTGCCCTGTATCAAATGTACAGAAAGAATGTATTACCCCTTTGGGCCGTGCTGAGTTTTTGCAACAGCAGGTTCAACAGATGATATGTGCTCAGCAGGAGCAGGCCAGGTTCCTGCAGCAGGTGTTCTCAATTTGGAAGGTCTCATTTGCTTCACAGGCTCCAGTAGGCCTGATGGATACCTGCTCACACCTGTGACATGGTCTCTACGTGGCTGAATGCTGAGCACTCAGAAATGCACTTGGTAATACAGAGTCCTGAAGTTAGAGAAAGTTAGCAGCATCTGGACTTTGTGCATTTGAGTGTATTAGTTTTCTATGGCTGCTGTAACAAATTACCCCAAATGTAGTGGGTTAAAACAACACAGCTTAATTCTCTTACAGTGCTGGAGATAATAAGTCTAAAACAGGTTTTAAGGAGCTAAATCAAGGAGTTGATGGGACTGTGTTCTAGGAGTCTAGGAGAGAATCTGTTCCTTGCCTTTTCTAGCTTTTAGAGGCTTCCCACCTTCCTTGCCTCTTGGCCTCATCATTCCAACCCCTACTTCTGTTGTCACATCTCTTCTCTGACTCTGACCCTCTCTCCTCCACTTATCAGGACCCTTGTGATGATATTGGGCCAGCCCAGATAATCTAGGATATTTCCCCATCTCAGGAGTTTTCACTTACCCAGCTGTAAAGCCCCTTTTATCATGGAAGGTATCCTATCCACACGTTCCAGGGATTAGGATGTGGGCATCTTTGGAGAGGCAGGATTCTGTCAACACTGGGAAAATCAAAGCAGAAATACCAGTGCTAAGATGGAACGGACTCTACAGTGTCAGAGAAACCTTGTAAAAGCACAAATGGCAACTCCTCACTTTTCTACTCACAGCCCTCCCATGCTACTTGCTGCTCCCAAGAGAAAGACCAAAGTCCTCCAGGTGGCCTATGAGGTCTTATCTGACACCCCTCTGACCTCACCCTCTCCTAACCTCCCTTCTGCTGTGTCTGTTCAGCTACTTTGGCCTCCTTGCGGCTCCCCCTACACCTCTCAGCCTTTTCCTGTTTCTGAGCTTGCCCTCCCTTCCTGAACCCATCTGTCCTTGGTTTCTCTTCTCAGATCTCAGCTCAAATGTCATGTTCCAAGAGAGGCCCACCTCTCCACCTCACCCAGAATATCCTCCTTCCCCTCCCCCACAGGCCACTGGTCACTCTCCAGCTGTTGCATGTAGTGTCTGAAATGATCTGCTTCATTTATCCATTTCTTGCCCGTCTCCTCAGATAAAAATGTACCCTCCTGGAGACCACCCACAGGGTCAGCCTTGCCCACTTGCTGGGCCCCTAGCTCTGAGCTCTCTGTCCAGACGCTTTGTAGGTGCCCAGCATGGATGCCCGCCAAGACTGGCCAGAGCAGAGCAGTCAGGGCAGCCCTTCCCGCCTGGACAGCCCGGAAAAGGCGGGAAAAAGAGGCGGGGGGGGGGGGGGAGCGGGAACGTGGGGGAACCAGCAAACAAACAAGTCTCATGGGTGGGTAGAGTGGGAGTGCCGGCGGGCCCTGATGCTAGGAAGTGGGGCTGGGGGCAATCAGCCTGTCCATCCGGTTGGCCCCCCACATTCTCCTGCAGGGGTGACATTGATTCCAGCCTTCCTTGCCCTACTGGTCAATGCGTGCCCAGGTCGGGGTGGGGGGCCCGGGGGTCTGCAGGAGCCGACTTAGTAGGCCAAGGGGGTCTCTATTCTGGGTGTGCCTAGGGCTCTTTGGAGGGCAGCATGTGGGGCGACCCTGGTCCCACCACTGGGCCCCATGTACGCTGGGCACCCAGCAGAGCGCGCAGGCCTGGGCGGGGCCGTGGCCCGCTGGAAGAAGCGGGGGTGGATTGAGGCGGGGGCGCCCCCCACCCCCTTTCTTGCTTCGCGCCACTGCAGCGGCCAATCACCGTGCAGGCGCCCGCCCCCTGCGTGGCCTCCCACAACTTCTAAACGCCGAGTTTTCGCGGGAAAAAAATCAGAGCAGCTGGCAGCGTGGGCAGACTGGGCGCTCCGGGTCGCACGCAAGTCCGCGCGGGGTCTGGGCCACACACGCCGCTCTATCGCCATTTCCAGGGCCAAGCGCGCAGGCAGGAGAGTGGGGGGGCGGCCGGCGAGGTGAGTGGCCAGGCGACTTGGGGCACCAGCCTGGGCCGGTGTGTGTGTGTGTAGGGGGTGGTGGGGGGGCAGGGGGAGGAAGGGGGAGGGGGAGGTGGGAAACCCAGCGCACCGGGCGCTGAGACTTTGCAAAATTTTCCTGAGCGGCCTGAGAGCGCGGTCCGCACCAGTGCCGGCGTGCCCGCGCCCACGCCGGCACCGGGCTCTCCTGCACGCGGACTTGGCTCTGCCCGAACCTCGGTCGGCCCTGGGCAGTGGCCTTCGGAATTCCGGACGTAGGCACGGGCCGGCGGAACCTCCCCGGAGCCCCGCGGGGGTCTCGCCAGCTGGGTGGGGGAGGGCCGGGAGAGCCGCGGGGGACCTTGTCAGGCTCCGCGCCTGCGCGCGGGGCGCCCCGCGATTCAATTGTCGCGCCGGAGCCCGGTTTCGCGCGCCCTTCGTTCCCCGGGCACGTCTGGGCCAATGAGGAGCGGGCGGGGCGGGGCGGCCTGGCGCGGCGGAGCCAATGAGCGAGGCGGATCGAGCGAGGGGCCCCTCCGGCGGCCCGGCGGTGGGGGTGGGCGTGGGCTCGCTGGCGTGGCCCACTCCGGCGGGAGGGAGGATAAGAGGGGCCCCGAGGACGGGAGTCAGAGTCCGGGGAGCGAGAGCCGGCGCGTGTGGACGCGGTGGGGCTGAGGTGAGACGCTCGGCGTGTGCGGGGGTGGCCGGGACGGGGCGGCCGGTTGCTATGGCCACCGCGGGGGCCAGCCGCGTCGGCCCCGGGGGTCGCCGACACGGAGGGGTTAGAGCCTCGCGTGTTTCCGGGGTTGGGGCTGGGGGGTTCTTCCCCATCGCACTTAGTTGAGTTCCCAGGGACTTCTGAAGTTCCGACCTGGGCCGGACTTTTGGGTTTCCCTCTTGCGTGAGTATTAATTCAGTGAATGAATGAATGAATGAATGAACGAACGAACGAACTCGACCCCTCAGCTTTTGGCTGTGTCCTTCCTCCTCTGGACGTTGGTGTCTCTTTCCTCCGAAGCGGGTGTGTGGGTTGGACTGAGTGGTTCAAGAGGCCGTTTGCCTTCCCTAATTTCCCCTTCCTCCTAAACGCTACCCTGGTGTTAGTCATTTACGCGTTAACTCCTTTAATTTACTTTGCCTGGCCCCGGGCTAGCTCTGGCCGTCTGTGAGGACTAGGGGGTCCGAGAGGGCGTTCGGGGGAGTTTTTGGGTGTCCGCAGACTGGACAAAGCCAGGATGACCCAAGTGTGGCACGGGCCTGGTGGGGGCGGCAGCGGCAGCACTGACCGGAGGATCCACTCTCTGCTCTCGCAGCACCAGCAGGCATCATGTGGATCCAGGTTCGCACCATGGACGGGAAGGTGGCCCACAGCGTGGGCTCGCTCTCCAGGCTGACCAAGGTGGAAGAGCTGCGGGAGAAGATCCAGGAGCTGTTCCACGTGGAGCCGGGCCGACAGAGGCTCTTCTACCGGGGCAAGCAGGTAAACGCGGTAAACGCGCCCTGCAGGCTGCCCGCCGCCCAGCACCTTTGTTCCTGTCTCCTCCGACACCAGCACATTCAGTCCCCCCCCACCCCCTCATCCGGTCCCGCTTCATGTCTCCACAGAAAACTCTCATGCCTGAGCCAGGAACAAAGGCTCAACTCACAGTCTGACACACTGGGCAGGCAGCTGGCACTGGAATCTGTAGCATTTGGGCTTCTCACACTCCCTTTTCCTTTTATTGTTTTTGAAGCCCCTCAAAATAATTTCTAGGAAAAGAAGTTGGAGGTGGCTGACGGAGAGCCGATGAATTTCAAGGAAGAGCCCAGAATCCTTACTCAAACACTAGGGCGGAAGGGACCGCGTTGTTCTTTGAAACACACACTGGTGGCCCACGGCCCGCACCTATTTTGAGTTTGACCCCCGAGGGGGTGTTTTCTGGAAATTCGGACCAGCTTATTCAGAGGCAGGAGACGGTGCTCGCAAACCTGGAATTTCTGCCACTCTGGGCCTGCTTTTGCGGGGGCTGCGGATGACCAGGGGCCGGTGCTGTGGTCTGCGGCCTTGCTCCTCTGTCCTTTGCGCTCTGTCCTCTGACCCTGGAAGCAGTTAAAATGGCCACCCCTGCTTTAGCGGTGGCTCGCCGTTGGGACGCTTTCTCCAGTGGCACTGGGGGAGGTTTCCAGTTTTGTAGTTGTCCTTGGGGGGATGGCGGGATGTACGCCTGGGAATGAAATTTCCCTGAGTGGGAGATGGTGGCACGAAGCGTTGGTCCTGTCTGCTGGGACCATCCTGGAGTTGGGTGGACCGTAGGGACAGTGGTGTAGCGATTGAACTGGATTAAAAGTCTTCAGTTGGGCTGGGCGCCCGACTTTGTTGTTGTGGCGTTTTGAACTGGATCCTGCCGCCATCTGGTGTCTAGATTGAAAAATAAACACTCCGTGTCCGCGCCTGGGCATGATTTTTGGGGGTTGGGAGGATCCTGTGTGCTTACTTGAAATGAGACCTGATGATTAATTTCTTGGGCTTGCAGCGCCCTGGAAGACCTTTAGCCTCCTTCCTGTGAGAGATAGGATGACTTGAATGTCTTAAGAATCTGAGTTATAACCCGCCCTGCAGGGGAGGGAAAGCCGATCCTGCAAACTTGGGGATTTAACTGTGCAGTCGCATTCGTGTTGAGAAAGGCAGGGCTTGCGTGGAGCTCCCCTGGGCTGCTGTCTCCTGCCTCTTAAGGGCCTCATTTGGTGGCATCTACACGGACTGTGATTTGCCACTCAGTCGATTTGTTCAGCAGAGGTCCTTTCTGAAAACCCCTTGCATGTGCCTACTAAGCAGTTCATGGTGTAGTTCAAAGGCAGGTTGAATGGAGTCCTCACAAAGTTCAAGGAAGCACGTATGTTTGTTTGCCTGTTGTGTGCCAAACACGTGTTTTTTTTAAACATCAGGTTTATATTCTATTAAACACTGTTCATTTTAATTTTTACATTGCAAACATGTAGAAAAGTTGAAAGACCCACGAACACATGAACACCTCCCTAGGTTTTACCACTGATATTTTGTGTAGTCACTTTGATCACTCGGCTCTGTCTTGCTCTATCCATCTACCAATATGTCTTATTTTTTGGGATGCATTTCAAAGTAAGTTTGCAGATGATTGTTCATATCACCCCTAAACACTCAGCATGCCTGTCATTAAGTAGAGTTCACTATTGGGGTTCTCACTGTCTTTTTAGGTAAAATTTGTATATATCAAGGCACGTCTTAAGCAGACCATTTGGAGTTCTGACAAATGTCTATACCCACATAACCAAACCCCTATCTCCCTTCATTCATCATACAATATTTGATCCATTCAGAAGTCTTGCTGACCTCTGTGTAAGTACAAAGCATGATGACAGCAACACCAAGGTGCCTTAGACACGTACATAGTGCCTTTAATCTTAAGGCTGTTGGCGATGAGATACAGGGCTCTTAATGCTGCTTTCACACGGTGCAGCTTTTATAGTTACCACAGTGTGGCCCATTCTCCTTCCTGCTGCGCTCCTCGGCAGGCAGCTTTGTGAGGGAACGTGCAGTTGTTTCTGTCTTCCGGGTAAGGGAGCCAGGCCTCAGGGCCTGATGCAATTTCCCCAAGGTTGTCTGGCCAGGAATCGGCCTGGTGGCTCGGAGGTGTGGACATCGACGGGAGGGTGGGTGACAAAAGCACACAAGCCGCGGCTCCAAGCAAGTCAAGCCTGCAAACAGACTGGACTAATAGTGATAGGAAGTGGTGCAGTTTCCAGTGGGTGCAGGAGAGCTGTTGTTTTCCAGAACGTTCTAGGGAGCCTGCACAATCTCCCCGCCCCGCCCTTAAAAGAAATATGGCAAAGCAGTCCAAGTTCTGCAGGGAGGTTGACTGAGACCATAAAGCAGAACATAGCTGAGTCTTTCTTCAGGATATGGGAGGGCTTTGTGGCAGCTTATTTAGGCTGAATAGGTTGGCGGTTATGTCGCTTGATTGGCGGAAATACAGGGAGCATGGGGGGAAGGGACCTCGGCGGCAGGCCCAGCCTGGGCAAGGAGAGAGGCATCTGGCGCCTGTTTTTTGCTGCCCATAAAATTAATAATAGCTGTTATTTGTGGCATAGCCTTGAACAAGCTCAGGTACAAGGCTTTGCGCTTTACATAATCTTCCCAAGTCCCCTGTCCCAGCGGCTTGGCCATGGACTCTCTGTTCGGACGGAGCTAATTGTGGACTCGGCATTGTGGCATGGTAAGAATTCAGTGAGGTAATGGATGTGAAGGAATGAGCCCATGTCTGGCTCACAATAAAGGTGCAATAAATCAGCTCAGGGCCTGTCCCCCTGGGGGCCCCTGACATGGGGGCCGGTCATTCTCCGTGAGCGGCTTGGTCTTTCTCTGGGGGGCTGTGCCGTGTTGAGCAGCATTCCTGGCCCCACCCACTCAATGCTAGGAGCACCCCTGGTTGTTATAACCACAAATGTCCCCAGCATCTCCTCTTGGGGACAAAATCACCCCTAGTAGTTTTGTAGCTAATTTAGGAAAACAGCTAACTTGGCCTTGCTGGGCTCCAAGGCTCTGTTAAGGTCAGTCTGAAAGATCAGTTGAAACGATATCCTGGGAATGGCCTTGCAAGGGTCACTCATGTCACAGTAACCTACCAAGTGTCCCTGCTGTAGTGGCCTTTCCAGGACGCTGCCTGTCTTTCCGAAGGGCAGGGTCAGGCAGCAAATAGGATAGTTCCTCGCAGAGACTTGTTCTTCCGGCTGCTTGAGGGAAGGTCCCTTTTTCCCATGGAGAGCTCCCAGCTAGAGGGCATGCCCTCTAAGCTGGGGGTCAGCAGATTCTGTCTGTAAAGAGCCTGGTAGTAAATATTTGTCTCTCCGGGGACGGCTCACCTCCACCACTGGAGCAGGAAGGCAGCCATAGACAGTATGTAAACGAATGGACCTGTTTCAGTAGGCGTCACAATACATTTGTTTACAAAACCAAGTGTGGGACAGAACTGTCACGAGGGCTGCGGTGTGCCAATCACCTTGTGCTCTGATCCAGGCTCCGGGTTGGGAAGCCAGGATTTATTCTCAGGAACAACATTGCTGTGCAATGTGTCAGGGCACTTGGTTGCAGGAGTTTTTCCAGGGCAGGGTGCTCAGACTGTTTGGTCTCAGGCCCCCTGTCCACCCTCCAAAGTGATTGAGGACCCTGAAGAGCTTCTGCTGGGGTTATGTCCATCGTTTCTTGCGTGTTAGAAATTGGAAATTAGAAATCAGAATTCACGCGTGCACGTTTCTTTGGTCGTCAGAATGGTGGCATCATCCTGCATTATGAAGGCTCCTCGGTACCCCTGTGAGACTGTAGGAGTGAAAATGGCCAGGGTCAGCGTGGAGACATCACAAGAGTTTTGGCCTTATGTCCACTGAAATGTTGCTCCAGGGCACATGGTCAGCTGTGGCCCTGCCGGGTCAAAGGACAGAGTTCAGTTGTCCTGCCTGATTTGCATTCTCCATGTCCGAGAGGGGCTAGGATGTGCGAGAAGGGTCGTGCTTGAGGTGCTCACTCCGCTTGCTCCTTCCCGAGTGGGCAGTTGTGTCACCTCTGCCACATCTGGGATCCTGTTCTCTGTGTTTTCTTCTTCCGTCTCTCCATCCCTCTTGTCTGGCCTGCACCTCAGGTTGCTCTGCGGAGGCCTGGAGGCTGAGATGGGAAGATGGGGGTGGGGTAAGCTGCATCCCCTGGAAGGGGGCAGAGCAGTTTCTCACTTCCTGCCTCTGCAAGTTCCCTTTTCTCCAGCTCTGGGTCCCTCTTGGCACCAGGCTCACACCACCCTCATTAAGACCCTGCAGTCTGGTTTATGTCCTCTCCACCTCTCACCCAAATTGCCACCACATGCCAAACCCGGTGACATTTATTTCCTGCTCTCTTGTGTTTTGGGGGGCAGCACACGGCACCCTGAAAAGTATCCCCCAAAAGTCACGAAGGGCAGAAAGTGAACAGAAGCAATAGGCATGGCGAGCTTTTTTTATTTTTTATTTTTATTTTTTGTATTTTATTGATTTTAGAGAGTGGGGAAGGGAGAGGGATAGAGAGATAGAAACATGGATGAGAGAAACGTTGATCGGCTGCCGCTTGTGCACCCCTACTGGGGATCGAGCCTAAAACCCGGGCATGTGCCCTGACCAGGAATTGAACCTAGTGACCTCTTGGTTCATGGTTGATGTTCAACCACTGAGCTACCCTGGCCAGGCAACATGGTGAGGTTTTTTTTTTAAAAAGAGCATCTCCTTTAATTTTTTTTTAAATCCTCACCTGAGAATATTTTCCATTGATTTTTAGAGAGAGTGGAAGAGAGAAAGACAGAAAGAAATATCGATGTGAGAGACACACATCGAATGGTTGCCATTTGCACTCACCCCTACCAGGGCCGGGGAGGAGCCTGCAACTGAGGTACATGCCCTTGCCTGGAATCGAACCTGGGACCCGTTGGTCCTCAGGCTGACGCT